TTTTTTTTTTGTTCTTTTTGTGGCGAGTGGATTCAATATTTAAAATCAATAAAGATTAAATTGCAAAATGCACAAACACACAAATCCCATTAGCCCCAGCTACAGACACCCCCCCCAAATGTCTTTATTTTCCAGGGACAGTCCCAGATTCACAGAAGCCTTACTGCTTTCTGATTTGATCCCGAAATGTCCCAATTTTCCTTAGGACGCCCTGATTTTCCTTGAGGAAATGTTGGCGGGTATGCAGCTAGCCTGTGCAGCAGTGCGTTGGCTGGGGCTGATGGGAGTTGTATTCCAAAGGGCACCAGGTTGGGACGCAGTCTACAAAAGTGGCAAGACCAACTGCGGATATTTCATGATTCCGTAGAACTAGGTGGGCGTGAGTGGGCATCTCGTGGCACCTGTATCTCAGGAAACTCCTTCCACAGCTTAACCGTGAAGCCCAGGTGTTGGGCCTCTGGGAATTTAAGTCCTTTGGACATCGCATCAAAGCAAATATTTACCATCATTGCTGGAGTGCTTCTCTGGCCAGTCTCTTCCGATTTACGTCAAGCTCATTATAGCAACACACACACACAAAACCCAGCAGCGTTTATATATATATTCCTCTGTCAGTTAGCAAGGCTCAGTACAGCCTTTAAGGGAATGAGGTGTCAGTCTTGTTCCCTCCTCTCCCCCCCACAATCTCGTTTCTCATCCCTAGTGGTGAAACTAGGCTTTTCTGAACTATTTGTTCCGAGTTTGGGGATGGCACTCTCTCAGAAGCTTTTGAAGCAGGGACTATTTGATGTATCCCGGTCGGAGCAAACTGCATCGGTTTCTAAAATAGTGCCACTGCACAGGGAATCTCCCTTACATCTTCCTCCTACTGCCTTGTTGCTTCAACATCCAGAGGGGCACAAGTGCCGAGCCTCCTGCAGCAAAAACAACAAGGAGTCATGCAACGCCTTATAAAGACTAAAGGACTTATTACGGCATTGCGTTTCATGGGCTCCAGCCCACATCGTCAGCTGCGATGGCTTGTCACTTGAAGGCTTTGCAGAAACTGAGAAAGAGAATGTCCTTTACTGAAGTCTAAATAAATCCGACGACTCCAGGTATTGTCAGCCCAAACTAGATTATATGTTAACTCTGTACCTGTATGCATAAGGCACACACAAACACATGCCATTCCAACATCCAAGGAGTGTGAAAGTCCAAAAGGACTTGCTTCTCTCATAGTCACAGCCTTGGAATCAAGCAGAAATCAAGAATGGCTCTGTCTCTCTAGCTGCTGCCTCCAACCAGCTCCCCACCACTCAAGTTTTTAATGTTTGGCATCTTATAGTATTTTTTGTTGTTGTTTCTTCAAATAATCTTTATTAGTTTTTCAATTAGATGCTCCACATATACATGTATTACATTTTACATTTATACTTGCTCTTCAGAGCTGACTTCCCTCCTTCCTTCTTCTGGTTTTTTATATCACATATAATTTTATCGCATTATTTTCTGTCTTATAGTATTTTTAATATTCTATTGGAAGCTGCCCAGAGTGGCTGGGGAAACCCAGCCAGATGGGTGGAGTACTGCTACTACTACTACAACAACAGCAGTTCTCAAATGCCACTCCAATATGGAGATTGGAGGCAGGGTAATGGAGGCAGCAACGAGAACTGCCGCCCCAAGGAACTGCTTCATGTTCCTTCATGGCAAGGCCAACCCCGGGGAGGAACAAGACGCTTCGGCTCTGCAGAGCATGCAAGCCCCTCTCCCCTTCCTGTAATTTCTCTTGCACCGTTGGAAGAAGGTTGGCGCGCCCTTGGCAGATGTTGAACCTCACGCCTGCCAACACCGACAGCGAGACACTTCCTGAGTCGAAGAGGCGCAGACGGATGAACTTGCCACAGGTTTCAAGCTGCTCTCGCCTCGCACACAAGTCCCATCTCCCGCAAACGGCTCTTAATTGTTCCTGATGCCTCACTGAGCCCAGCCTGCCTTCGCAAGAATGTGTTTCTTTGCTGCTGCTGCTGCTACAACAGCAGCTGCCACCCTGTGTTTTGATTTTTCTTCTCTCCTTCCAAGCTGGAGAAGAAGAGGAGGGAAATCCTATTATAAGGTACATGAGATCCTGTGAGTCCCAAAAAAACACAGAGGAAGAGGAGGAATATCAACCCCGGTGGTAATTGCAAAAATAAGGCACAAGCTCTCTGACGACAACAAGGATGCAGCGGGAGACCGATAATGTCTGGTGAGCATGCCAGTGTCTGCCCATGGGCTTGTGCCAGCTGATATGACATGTGGGCGACTCCTGGCATGCTGCTCAATGAACACGCCTGCCTAGAGGCCACAGGACTGCCTTTGAGGTCTTGGCAAGGAAGGAATACTGATTCTCGAATTTGGGAGGATACAGGACTGGAGGCTATTGGATCAGTTCCAGGATATTGGGGGGTGGGGCATGCCTTCATTCATTCATTTATTTCATAAAATTTATGCACCGCTAGATTCAGACACCCCTCCTCAAAGTGGTTTACAATAAGATAAAGCATGAAAACCAAGAGAGATGCGCAGTATTTTAAAACGTACGGAAAGCACTGAAAGCAGGTCAAAATTCACTCCAGCATTTCCAAGCAACTGGGTAGGCTTGCCTAAACAACAATGCTTTTCGCAGGCACCAAAAAGAGACCAGCGGTAATAAGGTTAATAAGAATATGTAAACATAGATTGTTATATGGATGAAAATATATTGCTATAATAGGCTAAGAAATAGAGTAAAGATAAATGAAAGAGGGTAAGGATTTGCTGAAAGGATTTGGTAAATGGGAATACAAAAAGGGGAGGTGTGAGGAGGTCAAGGAAATAAGTAAATGAGCCTAAAGATATGGAAAAATGGATTTTTTCTTTCTTAAATCTTTTTTCTTTTTCTTTCTTTCTTTCTTTTTCTTTTTTTATATTTTTTAAGTCATTTGTTTTTTGTATTTTTGTCTTTTTCTTTTTTGTCTATGTGTATGTTTATTGTAAAATCCCAATAAATATCTTATAAAAAAACAAAAACAAAAAACAAAAAGAGACCAGCGAAGGGGCCTGCTTGATCTCAATCAGCGGGGAGCTCCAAAGTGTTGCTGCCGCTGCACGAAACGACTGAGTTTTTACGGGTATCATGTGACGCCTTTGTAGTGCCAGTTCTGCTCATCGAAGTGGCGGAATGGGCGCATTTGGGATGGGGCAATCCCGTGAGGAAACTGGTTCCCAAGCTATTAAGGCTAACAAGGACACCTGATCATTTCTTTTTCAGTGACCGCCGAGCTTTCGAAGCAATTGTGAGCTGTCAATTAAGGCAAAGCGCCACATAACATCTGTGGGAGCAGAGAAGGGATGGACAAGAGGCGAAGGAAGGGGGGTGCGGTGGGCGCAGTCTGCCTCAGGTGTCATGACTGAGGGGGGTGACAAAATAGCAGGCGAGTGGGCAGCACACCTGGCGCCCAGCTCTGTTGCTGGGTGGTGGTGGTGGTTGTTGTTGTTGTTTATTTATTTACACCTCGCCCATCTGGCTGGGTTTCCCCAGCCACTCTGGGTGGCTTCCAACAAAGATTAAAAATACAATAAAACATCAGTCGTTAAAAAGTCATCATTTTCTGAAAGGGAAAAAGTCCTGGTTGTTCCAATCAAATCCATTTGTTGCGCTGCCTGAGAGGACAGTTGACTCCGCGTGACTTCTATTCACTTAAATTTGCTCATTGATCGCATTTATTCCTCAAGCTTTCCTCCAAAGAGCTTTAGGCGAACTCTCTTCCCCGTTTCTTCCTCCAACAACAACCCTGTGAGGCAGGTTTAGCTGTGAGGCACTCTATAACCACTGCACCATGCTGCCTTTCTATTTGTTGGACTAGCACCTGGGAGAGACCAGTAACAAACAAGCCACATGCTTGAGCATGGATTTCTTTTATGTCCTTCTCAGGGATGGGAGGTGGGTTTTGTGGGCTGGGGCTCTCTCCCTATTGTGAGTAAGAGTGCTCAGCCTTAGCCCATAGTGCAAAACGCCACAAAACTAGCAGAAAATGTTGGCACTGGTTTGGAGTCAAACGGACAAGTTTGGATTTGGGGCATTAACTTGTGACCCCAATTTGTTTTGTCAATTACACAGTTTGGGGTGGTGGCGGCACAAAATGTGGTGTTCACAGCACAAAATTATCGCAAAACTTTGGCATCAGGGTTTTTTTTGGGGAGGGGGAATCTTGAATTTCGGCTGCAGAGAGGAGGAGGAGAGTGAGCACCAGCTTCCCTGCCCCTCTCCTACCCTGAACTGTGGCGCGTGGGAGAGCACCCTTCGTGCCCCGCCCCCCGTGGAAGCGCGCCTGCCCTGGGCATATGCTCCTCTGCTAGGGAAGGAGACAAGTATGTGGGGGCAGCGAAGATGAAATCCAGGGCTGGTCACCGACCAGCGACCCCCAGAAGCGTCTGACCATGAAGCTCCCATCAAAATGGCATAAGGTGGGCGTATGTCAGGTGTGAAGCTGTATAAAGTGTCCATTGAGCCTGAGGAAAGTGACAATTACATTCTGAAAGTCCAGCAAGTTCTGGAGGCAGACTGGTTGGCAGCGTTACAGCCTCCGGAAACTAAGATTGAAACTATATGAGCTAACATAAGAATAATACAGTGGATCCTCGGGTTATGTTGCCTTTGGATAACATAACTTTCGGGTTGCAAACGCAGCAAACCAGTAAGTGTATTCTTCCGGGTTTTGCCACGTGCGCATGCGCACAAGTGCTCTGCACACCTTGCGCATGCGCAGAAGTGGCGCCTCTACTTGCAGTTTTTTCAGGGTACGTACGGACCCCTGCAGCGAATTACATTCATATCCAGAGGGTCCACTGTAATACTAATATATTATTATTATTATTATTATTATTATTATTATTAGTGGAACACCCGCACATCAGATGTGAAGGAAATAAGCAGCTATCTTATCTTTAAAAGACATCTGAAGGCAGCCCTGTTTAGGGAAGCTTTTAATATTTAATGCTGTATTGTTTTAACACTCGATTGGGAGCTGCCCAGAGTGGCTGGGGAAACTCAGCCAGATGGGCAGGGTATAAATAAATTATTTTTATTTTTTATTTTTATTTTTATTTTTATTTTATTTTTATTTTTATTATTATTATTATTATTATTATTATTATTATTATACCCTACCCATCTGACTGGGCTGCCCCAGCCACTCTGGGCAGCTTCCAGCATAATAAAAACACAGCAAACGTCAAACATTAAAAAACTTCCCAATACAGAGCTGCCTTCAGATGTCTTTGGAAAGTTGTATAATTGTTTATTTCCTTGACATCTGATGGGAGGGTGTTTTACAGGGAGGGCGCCACTACCAAGAAGGCCCTCTGCCTGATTCACTTTTGTTTCACTTCTCGCAGGGAGGGAACTGCCAGAAGGCCCTCGGCGCTGGATCTCAGTGTCCAGGTGGAACGATGGGGGTGGAGACGCTCCTTCAAGTATACAGGGCTGAGGCCGTTCAGTTAAACTATGGAACATGAGCCAACAGTGTGACGCGGCAGCTAAAAAAGCCAATGCAATTCTGGGCTGCATCAATAGGAGTATAGCATCTAGATCAAGGGAAGTAATAGTGCCACTGTATTCTGCTCTGGTCAGACCTCACCTGGAGTACTGTGTCCAGTTCTGGGCACCACAGTTCAAGAAGGACACTGACAAACTGGAACGTGTCCAGAGGAGGGCAACCAAAATGGTCAAAGGCCTGGAAACGATGCCTTATGAGGAACGGCTAAGGGAGCTGGGCATGTTTAGCCTGGAGAAGAGGAGGTTAAGAGGTGATATGATAGCCATGTTCAAATATAGAAAAGGATGTCACATAGAGGAGGGAGAAAGGTCATTTTCTGCTGCTCCAGAGAAGCGGACACGGAGCAATGGATCCAAACTACACGAAAGAAGATTCCACCTAAACATTAGGAAGAACTTCCTGACAGTAAGAGCTGTTTGACAGTGGAATTTGCTGCCAAGGAGTGTGGTGGAGTCTCCTTCTTTGGAGGTCTTTAAGCAGAGGCTTGACAACCATATGTCAGGAGTGCTCTGATGGTGTTTCTTGCTTGGCAGGGGGTTGGACTCGATGGCCCTTGTGGTCTCTTCCAACTCTATGATTCTATGGAACTCAGGAAGGTTAGACAAATTCATGGAGGATATTGCTATCAGTGGCTACTAGTCATGATGGCTATGGTCTGCCCCAATGATCAGCGGCAACAATGCTTCAGTACATCATTTGCTGGAAACCCCAGGAGGAGAGCGAGCTCTTGTGTTCAAATCCTGCTCGTGGCTTCCTCCAGGGATCTGGAGAACAGGATGCGGAACTAGATGCGCCATTGGCCAGATCTAGCAGTGCCCTTCTGGTGTTCCTACGTGGCCCAAGACAGCCAAGGAAACTATGGCGCTAGGCAGAGGCTTCCAGTCTTAAGTGGAACTTCTGAAAATGGCGGTTGGCAATCTGAAGTTAAAAACTCAAAGATCAATCTAATCCGGAGCATCACAAAATTAATCGTTTGAGGGGAGTCCTGGGGGAAGTGGAGCAGGAACCAATTTTTTGTCAGTTGGCTTAACAGCATGAACCTCAGGAGATCTTATCAGAGGACATTGAAAGGATGCACAAAATCACAGGTCTAGTGAGGCCATTTCCCCCCCGGACATTGTCATACATTTTGAGCATTAAAGACCACATCTTTAAGGCACTCTGCAATTTTAGCGAATTGAAATACGGGGAGGCAAACAGAGAAGTTTTTCAGGAAGTTTGCCCTGAAACAGTGAGGGATTAGCCTATCGTTTAGGCAGTTTTAAAAGAGGCCAGAATCCCCTCCTGTCGGGGATTCCCTTTTAGACTGCTGGCACAGCTTAAAGGCAAGTTCCTCTCAGTGAGTGATGTTCAACAAGCGCATCTCCTGTTGAAATAGTTAAGCTTCCAGACTCTGGATGACCGTGATTCAGCTGAAGAGAGACCCGGGAGTGGCCACAGATTCCCCCCCATACCTGGAAAAGGGGGGCGGAGATGAGAAAATATGAGTCCCATTCAGCATAAACAAGAGTCAGACATGCTACTAGAATGTACACACAAGATTGCTGAAAGTTCTTTATAATTCTTCTTGTGGCTAATGATCCTTGTGTTAGTGAATCTAGCTCACTGGTTCCCCAGCGTTTTAGAGCGTTCACCCTCTTGGTTCCATGAGCTCATCACCAATGTCCCCTACCGTACCCTATAAAAATCGTTATTCAGAATAGCAGTTTGCTAAGTGTCCACTAAGGAAAATAGTAAAACAGTAAAATTCAAAACGTTAACAATTAATTGCACATTAATTCAATTCAAATTAATTCAAAATGAAAACTATTTACGGTGGTACCTTGGTTCTCAAACTTAATCCGTTCTGGAAGTCCGTTCCAAAACCAAAGCGTTCTAAAACCAAGGTGTGCTTTCCCATAGAAAGTAATGCAAAACAGATTGATTCGTTCCAGACTTTTAAAAACAACCCCTAAAACAGCAATTTAACATGAATTTTACTATCTAACGAGACCATTGATCCATAAAATAAAAGCAATAATCAATGTAGTGCACTATAAAATAAATAAGACAGTATATCTGAGTCATATAAAATCTCATTATATTCCATGTTGTCATGCTACTCTTCCAAGCATATGGCATTGTCTGCTTGTCGCAAATTTTTCACGGCGCTTTAGCAGAAATGCTCAGAGTTCCAGGTTCTTCAGTGCAGTATATTTATTGTGAGCTATATATACAAATAGGGACGTGGGTGGCGCTGTGGGTAAAACCACAGAGCCTAGGACTTGCTGATCAGAAGGTTGGCGGTTTGAATCCCCGCAACGGGGTGAGCTCCCGTTGCTCGGTCCCTGCTCCTGCCAACCTAGCAGTTTGAAAGCACGTCAAAGTGCAAGTAGATAAATAGGTACCGCTCCGGCGGGAAGGTAAGCGGCGTTTCCATGCGCTGCTCTGGTTCGCCAGAAGCGGCTTAGTCATGCTGGCCACATGACCCGGAAGCTGTACGCCGGCTCCCTCGGCCAGTAAAGCGAGATGAGCACCGCAACCCAAGAGTCGGTCACGACTGGACCTAATGGTCAGGGGTCCCTTTACCTTTATATATACAAATATCTACAGGCTATAATTATACAAGAGCAGTTCATACAGTCAAACAGAGTACCTGGCTGCACATTAAGGCAAATAGGAAGACCTTTCTATCTCTCTCTCTCTGTGACCACACTCTTCTGCACCACCACACTTACTGCTGGACAGGTTTCCCTTTTAAACCGATAACCACCAATCAACTGTCAGCACTTTACTGCTGAGTCTTTCTGAATCAGCACTTCCATAGAAAATATTGCAGGCTGATTGTACCAGCCAGTTGCATCAGTAAGCAAACTCAAGCCTGCAGACTTACTATCTCACACAACATTCTGTGAATCCTGACACTGCTAATCCTGTGTGTCTCGTTATATACAGTGGTACCTCGGTTTTCGAACTCCTCCATTGACGAACATTTTGGTTTTCGAACGCCGTAAACCCGGAAGTAAATGCTTTGGTTTTCGAACATGCCTCAGATGTCGAACATGCCATGCAGCTTCCGCTGGGTGCAGTATCCTGAGGCCTAGCTGTCACCTATCGAGTTTTCGGTTTTCGAAAGTTTCAGAACTCAAACAGTCTTCCGGAATGGATTACGTTCGAAAACCGAGGTACCACTGTATATTGTTTGTTTCTGTTAAAATCAGTAGAAACTTGTGTGTGTCTGTGTATGCATCTAGGGTCACCATATTCTGAAGAGTAAAAAAGAGGACACATTTGCCGACTGTTCCTTGCCAACAAAGGCCTGTACAGTTAAAGCTATGGTTTTCCCAGTGGTGATGTATGGAAGTGAGAGCTGGACCATCAAGAAGGCTGATCACCGAAGAATGGATTCTTTTGAATTATGGTGCTGGAGGAGACTCTTGAGAGTCCCATGGACTGCAAGAAGATCAAACCTATCCATTTCGAAGGAAATCAGCCCTGTGTGCTCACTGGAAGCTGAGGCTCCAATACTTTGGCCACCTCTTGAGAAGAGAAGACTCCCTGGAAAAGACCCTGATGTTGGGAAAGATGGAGGGCACAAGGAGAAGGGGACGACAGAGGACAAGATGGTTGGACAGTGTTCTCAAAGCTACCAGCATGAGTTTGACCAAACTGCGGGAGGCAGTGGAAGACAGGAGTGCCTGGCGTGCTCTGGTCCATTGGGTCACGGAGAGTTGGACACGACTAAACGACTAAACAACAACAACAACAACAACAACACTTTTAACTATGGATTGCTACGGTGGCTCTCATTTTACATGAAAACCCTTAAGGATGTAAGCATTTCCATAGGGGAGCCGGGCCAAAGTCTAGCTCAATAGTCTCCACACAACAGGAACCAGACTGGAAAATCCACAAACAGGCTTTTCTGGAGAGAAACAGTTGCCGAGGCCCAGTGCATGAATATTGCTTCAAACATTGTAATCAGCTATATAGAATGACCTTTAGAATTTATTTGATTAGTTTACTAAACGCTCTATACCAATAATCTCTGATGGTTCGAAGATGCTTACTTGCAATGAGCACTGATGTCTGGTGGCTACTAGCTATGACACAGAGGGCTAGAGAGAAATAGAGATGGAGATTTTGAGTCCAGGGCAGCAGGAGCTAAGCAGGTTTGGAGCTGCTCCATTCTTGGTCAGCCCAGTGCATACCACTTTGAGCTCCTTTAAATAAAGATACAAATATAATAAATTCAGCTAAGCTTGAGTTTGGCAGCCCCTGCGAAGAGCTCCACATGGTTCTTGCTCTGGGGCAAGGGTAGTGATGTTTCTTTAAAGACTAGCACTGTCAGAGTGAGTGTTTGTCTTTCCATGCTCAACTTTCATATCTGCACACAAACACATATTGCAAAGCTGCCAGTACAGGCTCGGCGCAGGCTCCCCGCTCCATCCCTGAAGCTTCCTGCTCCTGAAAGAAACGGGAGCTGTGAAACAGTATAATTTGCAGTTTCTATTCTAGGCTGCCTGTACCCACACCACAGGGACAATTGCACTAACCAATCCATACATGAATAGCCCTTTGGCTCGTCTGCCGTAAAGATGCATAAAGGATTCCTGCAGAAGTATTTGACCTTGCGTGGCACACAGGCCTTTTATGAGAGAGATTTCGGTGCAAACCCAGGAGCTCTGTTCATT